TTTTCACCCCTCCAATGTTTTATATGTTTCCACTCCCCAAAATTGTTAACTGCTATAATCCTTATTGTGTATTAATCTGAATTTGCTGAACTAAATGATGCTTCTTGTATCTTATACTTATGTTGTTCCTTAATTATATCCTTTAATGCTCTTTTAATTCTGCCAATGTACATGTCTTCACAGGAGCACTTTAAAACGTATACTACTACCCTCCGTATTGTATGATATAAAATCCTTTATATTATATACTTTTCCTGTGGAGGAACTAGTAAAACCTTTTCATTTTTTATTATTATTTACTCTTAATACCGCTTTAGCAATTACCAGAAGCATAGAAGCCTTTGCCCTCAAAGAAGGTAAAAGCTCTATGTTTTGGGGGGTCAGTCACATTATGAACTAATTTATCCCTTAATGTTGGTGCTCTTTTATATATGAATCTGGGTTTTTCTAGTTTATGATCTTTCAATGTGTTTATCCTGTTATAGGATTTGCCAGTGTGTTTGTGTATAATACGCTCTACTTGCTTATATTGAGTATTGTAATTCAACACCACAGCCATCCCTATATTTTTCTTCCTATTGCTATTATTTTTTAATAATTCTACCCTATCAGTGTTTCTGACCTGATGCCTTTCTTTCTCTATATATTCTTTTTGATATCCTTTACCTGTAAACATATCAACTAATTTATCTGTCTGGAGCTCAAAATCCTTAGTATGGGTACAATTTCTCTTTATCCTCATATTCTCAATTGTCCTCTAGGGACATTAACTAACCATGGTTTATAGTGACAACTATTACTGAGAATGTACGTTTTTGTAATAATATTATTTTCAAACTTTATTAGGTCCCAGATCCAGAAAATGTATCTTGTCCCTATTACTCTCCCATGTGAGCTTGACATTCCTATTATTATTATTATTATTATTCAGACTATCCATTAAAAATGTAGGGTTTTCTTGTGTTCCTTCTCATAACAACATTAAGTCATCAATAAATCTTCTATATAATTTAACCTCTGGTATATTATTATGAAACACCTGTTCCTTTTCCCATTTCGCCTTGTATACATTAGCTATACTGGGTGAAAATTTTGCGCCCATGGCTACTCCAGTTTTTTGTAGATAGTACTTATTATACCAAAATTGGCTATGATTAAGACAAAACGCCAGACGTTTTAAAAAAATTTTTTTGTGTTTCCTAGTTAATCTCTCATTCATATTCAGCACCCATGTTGCCGCCTCCATGGCCCCCTCATGGTCTGTTTGTATACAGCAATGTTACCAATATGGTGTGCTCAGAAACATTATTAGATTATAATAATTGCAATATATGTTTGGGACCTTTTAAAAAAGCTTGGGTGCTTTGTACCAAGGGTTGTAAAAAGTAATCTATATACTCCGCCAACCTAGAGGTAAGGGAGTCTATACCATTAATGATTTGCCTTCCTGGTAGATTAATACTACCTTTATTATGAATGCCCCTTTTAGCACCATATTTAATGTTTTTTTCTAACTCCCGCTTCATTGTTTAGTAGGGTTGCTAATCAATACTCCATATGTTTCTCCATTTCATTTGTGTACTGTTCCTTTGACCAGACAGCAATGCAATCAAACCCCCTGGGCAGATTTCTTTTCGGTTCTCCAGCGATTTGTTACCCTTTTTTATCTCGTTTCTCACATTGTTTCTTTACTGGCAGTTTCTCTAACTCTTCTGTCTCTAGCTTCGTAAACATATCTATATATCTATTATCATTTAATTTAGGATAACCCCCCCCCCCCAAAAAAAACCCTTTTCTTCATGGGGGAAAGCCATACTACAATAATTTTAAAATGGCTTTTCCAATAGCCAGTATAGGAATATTTTTTCCAATAGATATCCACAAGAACACACTTATGATCAGTATACACCCAAACCACGAAGACCAAGATTTAGAAAACCCTCCAATACATACAATCGGGTACCTTTGTATAATAGATAAACACCACTTAAACAGGAGGAGGAAGAATATTCACCAAGACCTTACTCACCAAAGCCTTTTTTAGGCCCAGGATGGGGACCCAATACACAAGGGAGGTACAGAGAAAGAAGAAAGAGAGGTCGCAGAACAGGGAGGAGGGTCCAACAACAACAGAAAAGAAGCAGAGAGTATTAGGAGAGGGGATTTTTAATCTAAATGGTATTTCCCTCAAGAAAGAAAAATTGGAGGTATTAGGTAAGGGGCTGAAATTTGCTCCAAAAAAGGGGCTTAATACATTTTTTAGACCTATATAACTATTCAGAAGCTGGTTATAAACCACAGTATTAAGAAATATTATGCACAAAATCCTGTGGAACTCATTAGCCAACAGAGAGGAGGTACATTCTCTAATCTCAGAAACCAGTCAGTTTGTTATCCTAAAATAAATTATAATTAGTTAGTCTGGCTGAAAAAAGACAAAAGTCCATCCAGTTCAACCACAAAAAAAAGTTATAATCCTACACCCACAGTTGATCCAGAGGATAGATATACAGTCAGGTCCATAAATATTGGGACATCGACACAATTCTAACATTTTTGGTTCTATACACCACCACAATGGATTTGAAATGAAACGAACAAGATGTGCTTTAACTGTAGACTGTCAGCTTTAATTTGAGGGTATTTACATCCAAATCAGGTGGACGGTGTAGGAATTACAACAGTTTGCATATGTGCCTCCCACTTGTTAAGGGACCAAAAGTAATGGGACAATTGGCTTCTCAGCTGTTCCATGGCCAGGTGTGTGTTATTCCCTCATTATCCCAATTACAATGAGCAGATAAAAGGTCCAGAGTTCATTTCAAGTGTGCTATTTGCATTTGGAATCTGTTGCTGTCAACTCTCAAGATGAGATCCAAAGAGCTGTCACTATCAGTGAAGCAAGCCATTAGGCTGAAAAAAACAAAACAAACCCATCAGAGAGATAGCAAAAACATTAGGCGTGGCCAAAACAACTGTTTGTTTTTTCTTAAAAAGAAGGAACGCACCGGTGAGCTCAGCAACACCAAAAGACCCGGAAGACCACGGAAAACAACTGTGGTGGATGACCAAAGAATTCTTTCCCTGGTGAAGAAAACACCCTTCACAACAGTTGGCCAAATCAAGAACACTCCCCAGGAGGTAGGTGTATGTGTGTCAAAGTCAACAATCAAGAGAAGACTTCACCAGAGTGAATACAGAGGGTTCACCACAAGATGTAAACCATTGGTGAGCCTCAAAAACAGGAAGGCCAGATTAGAGTTTGCCAAACGACATCTAAAAAAGCCTTCACAGTTCTGGAACAACATCCTATGGACAGATGAGACCAAGATCAACTTGTACCAGAGTGATGGGAAGAGAAGAGTATGGAGAAGGAAAGGAACTGCTCATGATCCTAAGCATACCACCTCATCAGTGAAGCATGGTGGTGGTAGTGTCATGGCGTGGGCATGTATGGCTGCTGGAACTGGTTCTCTTGTATTTATTGATGATGTGACTGCTGACAAAAGCAGCAGGATGAATTCTGAAGTGTTTCAGGCAATATTATCTGCTCATATTCAGCCAAACGCTTCAGAACTCATTGGACGCCGCTTCACAGTGCAGATGAACAATGACCCAAAGCATACTGCAAAAGCAACCAAAGAGTTTTTTAAGGGAAAGAAGTGGAATGTTATGCAATGCCCAAGTCAATCACCTGACCTGAATCCGATTGAGCATGCATTTCACTTGCTGAAGACAAAACTGAAGGGAAAATGCCCCAAGAACAAGCAGGAACTGAAGACAGTTGCAGTAGAGGCCTGGCAGAGCATCGCCGGGGATGAAACCCAGCGTCTGGTGATGTCTATGCGTTCCAGACTTCAGGCTGTAATTGACTGCAAAGGATTTGCAACCAAGTATTAAAAAGTGAAAGTTTGATTTATGATTATTATTCTGTCCCATTACTTTTGGTCCCTTAACAAGTGGGAGGCACATATGCAAACTGTTGTAATTCCTACACCGTTCACCTGATTTGGATGTAAATACCCTCAAATTAAAGCTGACAGTCCGCAGTTAAATTACATCTTGTTTGCTTCATTTCAAATCCATTGTGGTGGTGTATAGAGCCAAAAATGTTAGAATTGTGTCGATGTCCCAATATTTATGGACCTGACTGTATAAATATGATTAAGAAGACAGTGACAGACGATTTATAGAAACTGCCAGTAAAGAAACAATATGAGGAGCAAGAGATAAAAAAGTGGGGGTTGCATTGTTGTCTGGTCAAAGGAACAGTACATAAATGAAATGAAGAAACTATTAAAACTATTAGGAGATACCAATACATACTGTATGAAGTATTGAATAGCAACCCTACTAAACAATACAAGAGGGAGTTACAATAGATCATTAAATATGGTGTAAAAAAGGAATTCTTAAAGCAGAGTTCCACTCAAAAGTGGAAGCTCTGCTTATTTGTCTCCTCCCCCCCCTCCACAGCCATATTTGGCACCTTTTGAGGGGAAGGGGGGAGCGGGTACCTGGTTTTGACAGGTACTCGCTCCCACTTCCGACTCAGTTCGCCACAGCCCCTCCTCCCTCCTGCAGTCTCCTGGGAACTTTCACAGGTCTTAGGAGATTGCCAGACCAAGTAGGAAGTGCAGCGCGACTCGTGCATGCGCAGTGGGCACCAGGCTGTGAAGCTGCAAGCTGTCACAGCCTGGTGCCCACAGTTGAGATGCCAGCGCTATGGAGGAAAGAAGGGGAGAAGGGACCGCGTGGGTGAGAACATCGCTGGACTCTGGGACAGGTAATTGTATGTTTATTAAAATTTAGCAGCTACAGTCTTTGCTGCTGACTTTTAATAAACACAAAAACGGCTGCAACTCCACTTTAACCACCTCCCGCCTGCCATATAGTCCAATGACGGGCGCAAGGTGGTTCTCTCGTTCTGATAGGTCGTCTTTTGATGGCCTTCCATTCTTACCGTGCATGCGCGACTCAGGGGGCGCGCGGCGATCGGCGGTGCTCTGTGTCCCTCGGATACAGCGGATCACCGATCCACGAAAAGAGCCGAAGATGTCGGTTCGGTCATGTGATCAGCTGTGTCCAATCACAGCTGATCACATGTAAACAGGGATGCCGGTTACCGGCATTTCTCTTCTTTCGAGCTGTCACGCTCACAGCTTGAGAGGAGAGCCGGTAATCGGCATTCCGCGGAGGGGACATGTACACTGATCATCAGCGCACTGATGATCAGTGTGGCCCCAGAAGTGCCACCTGTCAGTGTCCATCAGTGCCAGCTGTCAGTGCTGAACAGTGCCATGTGCCAGTGCCCATCAGTGCCACATCAATGCCACATATCAGTGCCTACCAGTGCACATCAATGCCACATATCAGTGCCCATCTGAGCTGCCCTTCAGTGTCACCTATCAATGCCAATCAGTGCCACCTATCAGTGCTGCCAATCAGTGCCACCTATCAGTGCCAGTCAGTTACGTCTATCAGTGCGCATCAGTGCCGCCTATCAGTGCGCATCAGTGCCGCCTATCAGTGCCAGTCAGTGCCACCTAACAGTGCCAGTCAGTGCCACCTAACAGTGCCAGTCAGTGCCACCTAACAGTGCCATATATCAGTGCTGCCTTTCAGTGCCCATCAGTGATGCCTGTCAATGCCCATCAGTGCCACCTACCAGTGCCTCCTCATCAGTGTCCATCAGTGCCACCTATCAGTGTCTATGAGTGCATCTTATCAGTGCCCATCACTACAGCCTCATTAGCGAACATCAGTGAAGGAGAAAAATCACTTATTTACAAAATTTTATAACAAAAACTAAGAAAAAACATTTTTTTTTTCAACATTTTCAGTGGTTTTAGTGGTGTTTAAGAAAAAATAAAAAAAAAACCCGAGGTGATTAAATACCACCAAAATAAAGCTCTATCTGTCACAAAAAAATTATAAAAATTTCATATGGGTACAGTGTTGCATGACCGCGCAATTGTCATTCAAATTGTGACAGCGCTGAGAGCTGGAAATTGGCCTGGGCAGGAAGGGGGTATAAGTGCCCTTTAGGTAAGCGGTTAATAATCAAAAGGAAACATATTTATTACCACTAACTTGTAAGATGCCGGTGATATACTGCATAACCAAAATTCATAAAGATAGTATTAACCCACCAGGAAGGCCGATCATTAATGGTATAGCCTCCCTGGGGGGAGTATACAGGTGAAGCTCCAAAAATTAGAATATCGTGCAAAAGTTCATTTATTTCAGTAACGCAGCTTAAGCTTAAGGTGAAACTAATATATGAGATAGACTCATTACATGCAAAGCAAGATAGATCAAGCCGTGATTTGAAATGGGAAGAGGAACAGGTGTTTCATAATAATATACCAGAGGTTAAATTATATAGAAGGTTTATTAAATACTTAATGTTGTTATGGGAAGGAACACAAGAAAACCTTAAAATGTTTATGGATAGTTTTTCCCTCCCTCCTAGATTGTAAGCTCCAAGGAGCAGGGCCCTCGAACCCCTCTTGTATTGAATTGTATTGTTACTGTACTGTCTCATGTACTGTCTCCCACCATAATGTAAAGCGCTGAGCAAACTGTCGGCGCTATATAAATCCTGTATAATAATAATAGGAATGTCAGGCTCACATAGGAGAGTAGTAGGGACAAGATACATTTTCTGGATCTGGACTTAACCACTTGCCCTCCAGAGGATTTACCCCCCCCCCCTTCCTGATCAGGCCATTTTTTGAGATATGGCGCTGCGTTAATTTAACTGACAATTGCGCGGTCATGCAATGCTGTACATAAATTAAATTTGGGTTTTTTTTTTCCCACAAATAGAGCTTTCTTTTGGTGGTATTTGATCACCTGTGCGTTTTTTATTTTTTGCACTATAACCAAAAAAAGACCAACAATTTTGAAAAAATAAACAATATTTTTTACTTTTTGCTAAAAAACATATCTGATAAAAAAAATTTAAAAAATCTAATTTCTTCATAAATTTAGGCCAAAATGTATTCTGCTACATATCTTTGCTAAAAAAAATCCCAATATGTGTAAATTAATTAGTTTACGTGAAAGTTATAGAGTCTACAAATGGCAGTGTATACATACTGGAATTTTTATTTTTTTTATACTAGTAATGGTGGTCGATCAGCGACTTATAGTGGGACTGCGGTGGGCATTCTGACACGGGGTGGGAACTGACTAATTGCCACTGACATCCCCAGTGATCCCAGTGAATACAGTGATCAAAGGGTTAACTGTGTGCTGTGTGTGTTTTACTAAGGAGACATGCTGTTTTGTATGTCTCTCCCCTGTCAGTTTTGCCTGATGATTGCCGAGTGCCAGCCAGGATTTGCCGGGTGGGACCCGGTGATTGACAGCGACGCTGGTAGGGCGGCGCACGCCCCCTACCCAGAAATGCAAATCCCATATAAATATATACGTGATTTTGTGCAGTCCTGCAGCACCAGTAGCAGTACTTCTGCTATAGGGCAGAGGGCAAGTGGTTAAAGGTTGAAAAAAATATTATTACAAGAACATTTTTCAAAAGTACAAATAGAAACTCGTGCATTCCAAGTAATATTTGTCACTATAAACCATGCTTAGTTAATGTTCCTAGAGGACAATTTATGAGGATAAAGAGAAATTGTACCCATACTAAGGATTTTGAGCTCCAGACAGATAAATTAGTTCATATGTAAGTAAAGGATATCAAAGAGAATACAGTCGTGGCCAGTGTTTGTGTATAATACGGTCTACTTGCTGTATTGTAATTCCACACCACTGCCATCCCTATGTCTTTCTTCCTATTTCTATTGTCTTTTAATAATTCCACCCTATCAATATTTCTGACCTGATGCCTTTCTTTCTCTATATACAGTTGTGGCCAAAAATATTAGCACCACTGCATTTCTGTCAGATAATGCACCATTTTGTCCAGAAAATTGTTGCTATTACAAATGTTTAGGCATTCTCATGTATATTTCTTTTGTTTGTATCGGTATGACACAAAAAGGTGGAGAAACAAAAAGCCAAATCTGACACATTCCACACAAAACTCCAAAAATGGACTGGACAATATTACTGGCACCTTCTTTAAATTGTAAATAATTGCATTCCAAGTTTGTGATGCTCCTGTAATTTGTAATTAAACTCACCTGTATCAATTAATAGGTGCTGAGAATATAGAAACCACACCAGCAACCAGTTAAAATGGTGAAAAATGGACTCAGCCTTTCTGTTGTGTGTCTCTGTGTGCCACATGGAGCATGAAAAAGAGAAAGAGCAGCAAAGAATCGTCTGAGGATTTGAGAACAAAAATTATGGAAAACAATGGACAATCTCAAGATTACAAATCCATCTCCAGAGATCTCAATGTTCCTGTGTCCACTGTGTGAAACATTGTCAAGAAGTTTACAGCCCATGGCACTGTAACTAATCTCCCTGGTCGTGGATGAAAGAGAACAATTGATCAAAGATTGTAACGAAGGATTGTTTGAATCCTGGCTAAAGAAAAAAACTCTATCATTTTCCAGACAAATTCGAGCTGACCTTCAGGCACAGGGTGTGTCAGCTCGCACTATACGTCACCATTTGAATGAAAAGGGACACTATGGTAGAAGACCCAGGAGGACCTCACTGATAACACAGAAACATAAAAAAGCCAGATTGGAGTTTGTCAGAATTTACCTGAGGAAACCAAAATCCTTTTGAGAGAATTTGCTGTGGACAGACGAAACATAATTACAGCTTTTTGGTAATGTCCATCATTCTACTGCTTTCAGAAAAAGAATTGAGACCTTCAAAGGATAAGTTCATCTTTTCGGGCAGAATTTCACTTTTCATAATAAATAGAAGCATTTTCCAATACCATTTCTGGCCCAGCCATCCCAATGTGCTTTTCTCTCACTTACCGCATCCACAGGACATTTTTGTCAGTTTCTGTGAGATTTGGAACAGATTTTCAGATTGCATCATTTCTTGTCGATGGTCTTTGAGAATTCACTTCCTGTAGTCCATCTACCAGAAGCCTTCACTTCCTTGTTGCATTGCAGAAGAGGGTGGGATAGGGTGTGTTCACCACTCTGTACCACACCTCCCTCATTACAATACTACCTTCCACCCATCAGCTATGTAGTACAAGGGCCTGTCTGATTTGATAAAATTGAATGGATTGTTCAGGTGTGTCCTCCTATTCCATAGTTTTGGTAAATCTAAAGGAAATTGTACAATCAGATTGCATAGTGTATGGCCATCTTTATACAAGTACATAGGAGGGAGTGGACAGAGACACTCAGGCCCCAGTTTCAGGCCCCATCACATCTCCATGTAGTTATGACTCACATTCCTGCATGTGTTTGTTTTGGGCGTTTTGGAGCATTTTCACTTGTCACGCATAGAACAGCTCACTCAGTTGAATGGGCTGCCATGCACACAACAATCTCCATAGAAAAGCTCCAGAACGTGTTTGGGAGTGGAGCATGGTGCATTACCATAGTTTTTGATGTGTTTGCCACACTTGAGGTGCCTTTAACATGTAATGACAACACAAACAAGATGTACATTTACAGCGTGTTTCTGAAACGGATTGCAAAGTGTCCACTTTCTGTGCAGATTGCCATGCATTTGGAAACCCACAGAAGTGAATGGAACCTCATTGTTCTGTGTAAATGCACCAATTTCACTCTCAGGCCCCATTCACGCCCAGAGTAGAGGGAGAGCATGTTTTTTGGCTCGTTTTTCCATTGACACACATAGGGTAGCCTGTTAATTTCAATGCGCTACACATGACAAAGTAGGTCATGGGACATTTTGGCGTGATGCGTTGTCACACATTTTTTACTGCGCGTTTTGCTGCATTTGTCACCTGTTTTTTCATGTGGCAAATGTGTGTCTGTTTTTGTGTTTGGTGTGATGTTAAAAATTAATTACACTCAAAGCGCAAACAAAAGAAATAAACATGAGAATGCCTAAACATTTGTAATTGTAACAATTTTCTGGGCAAAGTGGTGCATTATTTGACAGAAATGCAGGGGTGCCAATAATTTTGGCCACAACTATATATAGAGAAAGAAAGGCATCAGGTCAGAAATATTGATAGGGTGGATTTTTATTAAAAGAAAATAGCAATAGGAAGAAAGACATAGGGATGGCAGTGGTGTGGAATTACAATACATACAGTATAAGCAAGTAGAGCGTATTATACACAAACACTGGCAAATCCTACAACAGGATAAACATCTGAAAGATCATATATTAGAAAAAAACAGATTCATATATAAAGAGCACCAACATTAAGGGATAAATTAGTTCAAAATGCGATTGACCCCCCCCAAAACATAGAGCTTTTACATTCTTTGAGGGCAAAGGCTTCTATGCTTCTGGTAATTGCTATAGTTGTATCAAAGTAAATAATAATAAAAGATGAAAAAGTTTTACTAGTTTCTCCACAGGAAAGATATATAAAACAAATGGATTTTATATCATGCTATAGTAAGGGAGTGGTATACATTTTAACCAATACACACCCGGCCAATAGCCAAAAGGCGGCCGGCAAAATGTATTGGATTTCCGAGTTGGACGCCAAATGGCGTCCTCCCGCACAT